CGACGAGGCGCTGGCGGCGGAGAAGAAGTCGGCGGCGGACTTGGAGGGGCACAAGGGGCGGCAGACGGAGTTCGACGCAGAGCTGGCGCGCCTTCGTGGAACGAACGGCACTCTTGCGTCGCAGCACGCCAGCCTCAAGTCCGAATACGAGCAGCTGAAGGAGGCCAACGACTCGCTAGTCGAGCAGGCCACCACTCTCTCTGGCGACCACGCAGCCGCGCTGGAGACCTATAGCGGCTTCGTACGCGCAGTCGAGGCAGAGCGCGACAAGAAGTTCGCGTCCCGGAAGGTCACGCCAGGCATGTTCCAGCGAGAGGCGATACTGGAGAACACGAGGAACACCGTAGCCTGCCTGCAGGACACGATGGATGCTCTGGATGAGCGGCTTTCAGAGGCGCACAAGGAGCTGTACGACAAGGAGCGGGAGCTGGAGAAGGTCGAGACGGCGGTGAAGGACGAGAGGAAGAAGGTCGAGACGTATCGGGCAGTTCTGCAAACACCGCTGACTACGCCTTCTCTGACAAACTCGAGTGGCCGGTCATCTCGGTCGCCGTCACTGACGCCGCCACCTGGGACTCCCTTAGAGCGTTCCAGCTAAGACTAACCCTGGCAAAATGGGCTTTTCTCCTCCATATTTCCGGGTATCCTCGTGCAACATCAGCTGCAATACAAGAGCACTAGCTTTTTGCTCTCGCGCGGACTACCGAGCCTGTTACAACTGTATCAGAAAGCCTCGAGAATTGCCAAGCGCGTCCGTTTGAGCGACATTCAAGGCGACATTGCTGAAGTCGCACAGCGAGCTTAACATTCACAAAGATGCTTACTTCCATAACACACTTGTATCAAAATTGTGTATGACAATATTCCAATGTCAAGTGTCGGGTTAGAATGATTACTCGTATTACTCGTATCTTCAACCAGATAAGAAACCGTTCTCTTATCACCTTATCTTTCACTGCCCCTTTTCCTCCGGCTACCTAGGGCTACCTCCTCTATATAAGTCTTGCGGCCCGATCGACGGCGCTCACATTGTCTCCGCCTACCTCGTCTCTGACGGCCTTCGTCATCTCGCCTCCGCCTACCTCGTCTCCGACGCCCTTCGTCATCGGCAACAAAAACAGCTGCCGGGAGAACGTTAATCGCGTGGCGGACGCGAAGCCGTTTCTTGTTTTGTATTCATTTATTCAATTGGAGAAGATATCATTTATATATAAGAGATGTGTGAAAGGGAAACGAAGATTGATCGAGTGTCCCCAAGTAGTACTTCAAGTCCTACACTGTATTCGATCTCCCATACATGCTTCACACGGGTATAACGTTGGTGATCAACTTGTGACCAGCCATGAGGGGTGCTGCAGATCTGATTTCAATCCTTCTCACAGACGGAGAGTACAGGTTAAAAGAGCAGCACTTCCTGCGCTGACTTATCCTCCTCCACGACTCGCTGCATACTCAGATAGCTGGAAAGAGATAAACGTAAAAAGCGGCGAACTCCCGAGCTGAAGCCAGATCTAATGCCGACAGCGCCAGTCGATAACAACGGCACCGTCCTCTTCTTCGAGGATACAGGTGCACCTCCTGGTTCTTCCACATACCTCACCGTAATTCTACTGCATGGGCTACTCTTCCACGGAGGTGAGCTATCCCATCTAATCATATCTGCGCCACTAACTCTCTTCGCCATCAGCGATATTCCAAAAGCTGGTTCCGCATGCCGCGTCAAATGATTTGCGACTGGTCCGTGTCAACCTACGAGATTATCCGGGATCTACCAAGTTCTCCGAGGAAGAGCTCGACGTGATCAAGAGTGGCGAGCCTGAAAAACAAGCAGGCGCTATGAAGGCGCAAGGGCAGCAGCTTGCAGCCTTTCTGCGGCATTTCGCGACAACATATGACATACCTCCGACTGCTCAAGCAGACGGAAAACTGGTCGGTGGCATGGCTCTTCTCACGTGGTCTATGAGCAACAATCTCGCGACGTCCTTGCTGGCCCACGCTGCATCCCTATCAGCAGAGACTCGCGAGGTGCTGAGTAATTATTTGCGCACGATTCTTCTTCTTGGTGAGTATATTAACACTCTTTCTGAACAAGATGATGACCGAGAGCGAGAAGATCCCGTGCTGGGCTCGACGTGTGGGGAGGGGGCCCCGCAGGGCTCGTATCATCCCTTCCGCGACGCGTCTCTGTCAATGGACGAGCGTATCGACTTCTCCGAAGTCTGGCTTTCGTACTATTTCTCGACGGTGGATGATTTCAAAAGCATCACACCCGAGGAACTCAGCGCTCGCTCACCCTTGCATGAGAGCTCGCTCGAGAGCCCACCTGACTCTTCCAAGACGCCGACGCTACTCCGCGTATCGAAGGAGGTGCGTTACGCCATCCGGGATCGCGACGCGTTCGTCCGCTCGAGCCTGCCCATCCTCCGCATCACTCCCAACGTCTTCCGTGAGAACTTTGAGCGGGCGCTATTCCGGACGGATGGGACAATGCCGGCGATCAGAATCGTGTACGCGTGGTGCGACGAGACGATGGGCGACTCTATCTCTGCTGCCAAGTTTACATGGGACAGGCTGGAGGCATCTCGAGCCGAGGGGAGTCGTTTTCGCGACATTGAGTTTTGCAGATTGGATGGATGCAATCACATCGTGAGTGTACCGCCGGCTTTCTCGTTGTCTCAAGGTTGAGCTTTGCACCAGCCGCATTGGGACTACCCGGAGAAAATCATCCGCCTTTTCACTACGCGCGCTTAGCTGCCTCTATAGTAATCTCGGGTTTCTGATTAGTGGATCAATATCAAAGATTTCAAGCGACCCGCAGCACATCTTAGTCAGAGACGACTCACGAGATTACTTAGTCTGCCAGTAGCCAAGCTGCACCGTGGCGGCGCTGTAGAGCGCGTCAAGCGCTTTGATACTACAAGGCTTTCAAAGGGTTTTAGAAAGACAAGATTGATATTCGTGTTGCTTCTTGCTGCTTTCTAGGACTGAAAGGGTTGAATGTGGACAGGCTAGCACAAGGTCCAAGGCTCCTCTCCGGCCACGAGACATGAATGCCGGAAATAGTCAACTTGGGAATTCTGTTGCCCGAGAGATTTGGCAAGGCTTGCCCTGGCACACAGTCATGTCAGCACGACAAATAACTGTGACGAGAGAGACCCTTACGACGAAGTGCGAACCAACAACTTCACGAGCCCAGCGATGTATGCACCGCCGAATATCGAACAAAACTGCGAATTTCAAGCTTGCAAGACGCGCCGCAATTCGAGATGACATTGAGTGTGTAAATATCAAGCTGCCGAACAAGATCCCTCTTCTTGCCAGTGCAGCGGCATGGCGTAAAAGGGTAACCCTAACCTCAGCCAAGTACAGCGCCACAAAGTCCTCGGGGTATTCCGTACTTTGCACTCCGCTTGAATTAAAGTTACCTGTTTGGAATGCGCAACCTTGTAACTTACGCCAACTACATGCCCACCCAAACGCTCTTCATCCTATGGCAGACAGCTCAATGTCTCGTTGTACACTTTTCGAGGGATGTTTGCTTTCTTATTTGCTGTGTCTTTGAGGATGGGACACCACGCAGATCAACGGGGTGATGAACGTATGTACAATAAAACTTGGGACCTCTGACATGAACAAGTTCGTCTTGCTTCCACACTGCTGACAGGAAATCGGGCTGTGAAAATGGCTGAAGCGTTATCACACCTCCTTGAACCCGCATATTCCTGTTCCTCGCCGGCTGTGTCTGGCCTGGCTTTGAGATGAACCCGGTTCTCGAGCGCGATCTCTCCCCGCGATCGCTGCCAGCCGCTGTCGTTTCCGGAAGAGCTATTGCCAGTGACGTGACCTACCGGCCGTTAGCGCGTCGCGGCTGACTTGTTGAACTTCTCAAGTTAGCGCTCATGTTCTAGAGGATAAATAGGCTTGGGATGCGTCCAGGCAACCCAGCTGTGCTCTTGCTTTCGACTTCCATCCTATACCCCATATACCCCATATACCCACTTCTATCTTGTATACGATGTTGACCATCGCTTTCGTTACCTCTGCCCTCGCCCTCATCTCCGCCGCCTCTCCATCTCCCCTGCAAGGCCGCGGCGTCCGGATCGCCCTGCAGAAGCGCGATGGGCTCTCCTCCGTCGCCGAGATCATCGACATATCTACCCTCTTAGCTGCTCTTGACAGGACCAACTCGTACGTTGCGTGACTCATTGTGCGCCTTCCTGTAAACTGACCCCTTCTAAGCAAATTTGCAAACGGGTTGGCGGCCTACGAAGCTAACACTGGCGAGGCTCATCCACTCACAATCCCCTCGAACCTCGACGGCTTTGGCGACAACGGGGATGACAGCACATTAAAACGTCGAGCCGCCACTGCGAAGGGAACTGAACCTCTGACCGACGACAACAGCGGCGAGCTTTGGCAGGGCGCGCTTACAGTCGGTACACCAGCCAAGACTTTCACCGTCCAGTTCGATACCGGCAGCAGCGATCTCTTCGTACCTGGCCCATCATGCACCAGTTCGAACTGCCAAGGGCACGCCAAATATAGCCCCTCGAGTAGCTCGACCTCCGCGGATGCAGGCAAGACATTCAATCTCCAGTATGGATCCGGGTCTGTCCAGGGCGATCAGTATAATGACACGGTATCGATTTCGGGACTGACGGTAAGCTATGGCTAGCGCGTTCACATTATGCTGTCACAGCTAATTCTACGTGTAGGCGACGAAGCAGAGGCTGGGCGCGGCCTCAGCATACTCGTCCTCCTTTGCCCCGAAGAACTTCCCTGCGGACGGACTCATGGGGATGGCGTATCAGTCTATCTCGGAATACAACTCCCCTCCCGTGTTTCAATCGCTCGTCGCGCAGAAGCAAATCTCGACACCTGTCTTCTCGTTCAAGCTCTCCAGCTCTGGTGCCGAACTCTTGCTTGGTGGCGCTGATAGCAATCTTTACACTGGTGGCTTCACCTACGTACCAGTTACGACTCAGGTGAGAGCATATCTCAAAGTCCATTCAATAGCCTCTGATTACGTCTTTCTAGGGTTATTGGCAAGTGAAGCTAGACGCGGTCTCGGTCAACAGCTCTACCCCTGTCAAGAACGTGCAGTCAGTCATCGACACCGGTACAACTCTCATCGTCGCCAATGCATCCCAGGTCAAACAGTTCTACGCTACCATCCCGGGCTCCAAGGATGCGTCGTCGACTGTCGCTCCGGGCTATTACACCTTCCCCTGCTCCTCTACGCAGCATGTCAGCCTCACCTTCAGCGGCAAGAACTTCACGATCAATCCGTCGCTCTTCAATCTCGGTCGGGTCAGCAGCAACTCCAGTGACTGCGTCGGTGCCGTCGTCGGATCGAGCTCGCTCTCATTCTGGGTTGTGGGCGACACCTTCTTGCAGAACGTGTACTCTACGTTCGACCTAGGGAACAACCGGGTGGGCTTCGCAACCTTGAAGTGATATTGTTGTTGGGCGAGGGCAATATAAATTTTGTTTCGTTTTCTGACTTCTCCTGCGAGACTTGGTTGGAGTATTGAACAGTATTGACGCGCTAATCATTCGCTTTCACGACCAAGTACAGATGAAGTCAACTCTTTGCTCGTGACATGATAGGACGAGCTATGCTATGCGGTAATTAGTTAGTCACCTCGCGAAAGATGGACAAGAAGAGGCCAAAAGATGAGTTGTTCCAGGTCGCCTGACGTCGATGCTGAGTACGGAAGAACAGGTTGATGGGCTTCCGAGCCGATTTCAGTCAGCTACTAGGCAGGCCAAAAAGGATGTCCCTAACCTCAGGTCGACAATTACTGCGCTAACTACAGATAGCCAGCGTTAATCTCCGTATACGTACGGCATGAACTCTATGTCGAATGATACCAGGAGGCGTGGCATCAACGAGGTCACACGGCACATATAGACACTTGCGAGCCCCAACCTGCCACCTATGTAACTCGGCTCCCACCGCCTCCCACAGCAGCAGGGATTACATGACTGACAAGCAGGCTTACAGCCGTCTGGCATCGCCGGAGAGGACGCAAGCAGAGCCACAGAACCCACTCACGCTCCGCTTCACTGAGGCAGAGTGGAAAGCATTGAGGAAACTGAGGGTACATTGCTCGCTCGTTTACGCGACTATCACCCAGTGACCATGTCACTTCCTTGTAGCCTTTACTTCCCGAGATTCGCCGCATCGCCTACGATGGCTCGGATACACCCAAGACGTTTTCCATCTGGGGAGTCACGATCGACCCTATGGACCCTGCAGCCGACGCCAGGGCGAGCGTGGTACTCGTGAAGTTTCTGCGCGCACGGTGAGCACCGTCTCGCATTCTGCCCCTGACGTCATCGTCTGAACGCAGTCCCAAACCCAATGGCAGGAAGCTTGATGTTGGCGCGACGAAGACGCTCTTGATTGATCTTCTCCGCTGGAGGCAGGAAGTCAACATTGACGAGCTTGTTAAGAGAACCTTTCCTCCGTTTAAGATGTGCATCGTCGCGTTTGGCAAGGACAAGGCGGGGCGTCCTGTGATGTGCGTGATCCCCCCCCCCTTTCAAAAAAAGAGACGACATGCGAGCTGATATTTGTCTCATTTCGGAATTGGCAGATATTCTCAGGTCGACTCAGGGTCGGGGAGATACTTGAGGAAGGAGCTCGAGGAGGACTCAAAGACCGTCATTCTGTGAGAGATTGCCATGCTCGTAATCACGGACCGCTGATTGCATGGCAGGCGGGCAGCACGCAACTGGGAAAATTCCGTCCGGAAGCTGGACTACGAGTCCGTGGACAGAATGACACGAGTGATAGACGTAGGGCCAGTATTGCCTGAAAACGGGAGCAAGAGCCAGCCTCAAACTAACGCAGCGTATAAACGTGTTGTCAAGGACTACTATCCTGACTTCTTGGTACGCGTATTGCCGGCTCCTCTGAAGACCTGCTGCTCATACCGGCTTTGAGAATAGGGCTCCGTTGTCGCGATCAACGCCCCGTCCGGGCTGGTCACGTCTACACGCATCTCATCGTTCTTCGGAACGCCCAAAGATGGTGCGATACAGTGGGTGGGCAAGGGCCAGGGGACGATAGCTAAGAAGCTGCTCAAGATCATCGATGCAGACCAGCTCCCGAAGCAATATGGGGGAGAGGCTGACGGGTTCTCTTGGCCAGAGCTTGGGTCGCCGAGCACGCAGGTCGATGCGGCCGCCGAGAAGAGAGTATAGCCTGTTTCCGAGTCAAGTGAGAATGTGTTTATAGCCATCTCTCGAGTCTCGCGATATGGTCTGCGATATAAGAAGTTAACTATCATAATTGGAATCAAGCAAATGTACTCTATGCTTTGTTATCTCAATGTTTCTAGTCTACCAGATTATCCAGGAGATTTTTGCTGGCCAGCGAGCGCATCGTTTGCCGGATTCAGTTGTGCTCAGGTCACGCGCCATCACTGCAAGCGGCAACGGTGTCCTAATCATTCGACCATGTTATCAGCAGTTTGTAAAGATAGACAGATGGGCTTGGTCGGTCCAGGCAGCTAACTGCACTGCCTCCTTGGATCACCAGCCTCTCCTTCAGGACACTGCGGCGTCAGATAGGCAGCTCATATAGATAGTCGTAAGCTCCGGCTTGCCGCCTACGTAACTCAGCTCTCAGCTCTCACCATCCTCCACAGCAGCAGAGACCACAGCCATGACTGCCAATCAGTCTCACAACCCGGCGACGTCAGATGTCTCCTCCGAGAAGGCGCAGTCAGAGCCGCAGAACCAACTTACGCAGCGCTTCACTGAGGCAGAGTGGAATGCACTGAGAAGATTGAGGGTATGTTGCTTGCTCATTGACACGGCTACGACCTAATGACTGCATCCCTTCCTTGCAGCCCATGCTTCCTGAAATCCGCCGCCTCGCATATGAAAGCGATACGCCCAAGACATTCTCTATATGGGGTGTCACTATAGACCCGACAGACCCTGCAGCCGACGCCAGAGTGAGCGTAGTGCTGATGAAATTCTTGCGTGCGCGGTGAGTTTACGGTCTTAGCTCCTGCCTTGACGTCATCACCTAAACAGTATCTCGACGTAAATTGCAGGAAGCTCGATGTTGGCTCCACGAAGACGCTTCTGATCGAGCTTCTCCGCTGGAGGCAAGAGGTCAATATCGATGAGCTTGTGAACAGAGAGTTTCCGCGGCCCAGATCTCCCGCCGTCAAATTTGGCAAGGACAAAGCAGGGCGCCCAGTATTGTATGTTATACTTCCTCAATCCCTCAATAATGTGCGGACCGCATCTCAAACACAACAGGTACAATCAAATCACCGTTGAGGCTATAAAACGAATGTGGGTCGACCTCGATGAGGATTCAAAGGCTGTAATTCAGTAGGTAGCTGCCATATCTTTGGCGGCGATGGCTGACCGCACTACAGGCAGACGACGCGAAATCTGGAGAAACTCGCCCGGTATCTGGACTACGAGTCCGTGGACCAGGTGACGCGAGTGGCAGACATGGAGTCGATGTCAGCCGACGACTTCACCAACAACAGACCTCCTAATGCGGTACTTGCTCGCATCGTGAGCAACTACTACCCCAACCTTTCGGTCCGTGCACTCCCGGCATTTTTGGGTCCCACTCACACGATATTATGTATAGGCCCACAGGCTTGCGGTCAACGCACCGCTCCTTCTATCCATGTTTGCGCGCGTCTCTTCGTTTTTCGTCACTCCCGAAGATGGTACAATGCGATTCGTGGGGAGAGGCAAGGAGACGGTTGCCAAGAAGCTGCTCGAAATCATCGATGCTGAGCAGCTGCCGAAGCAATACGGAGGGAAAGCTGATGGATTTTTTTGGCCAACGGCGGACGCTACTCAGCTAATCCAAACGACCGCGCAAATCAATGCGGCTATTGAGAAGAGGGTGTAAAGTCCAGGTGGAGTTATACCGATAGCTGTTTCCAGGTCTCGCTTATCTGATATACGTTCTGCCATTCATCCCCATGGGCCTACACCCAGACTATTCAGCTTCATGAAGAGCTTAATTTAGTGAAAGACAGCTTTTAGGGACTCAGTATAACCTGAGCATATGTAAACTACAACCTCCGTCGAACCAAGGCTTTTCTCGGGTTACATTCGCTCTAATTACGCGGCGTATGGCTCGGCCCATATTATCTCAGACTCCAGCTCGCAGGCACCGAGAGCCCGGGGCCTTATAGTCTGATTTTATTGCTTAATTCGCCCGCCACACACACTACGATGGCCGCCTCTTTCCCAATCACTGGAGATAAATCAAGGTCAGTTGCGTGACCGAACATGATTAGATTCGATCCTCGCCTCGTCTGGCACCTCGTTTTGTGGTTGCTCCTCATGCTCTATCCGTGTCTCCATCGAATTATGACCGAGTACGAGGGTCGGGATCCGTATCCGCGAGAGAGAGAAGAGGCTGTCGACATCCTTCAGCACAAATTTCGGAGTTTGTGGACCGCGCTCTGGGATGTCAGGGTGCCCTTCTTGCATCATTCGACCTCCAACAAGATCGACGAAGGCTTTCCTGTTCCATGCTCTCTTTACAAATGTATCATCGACTGCTAGCTGTATCGTACTCATTTATGTTTGTGCCTAAGAATTTCATCGATTATCACGGATAGAGCATGAGGAGCAACCACAAAACGTATTTCTGTTTTACGATAAACTTGAGCTTAGAGCTTAGTCACCAGTCGAGAGCTGGCAGTCACGCACCGTCATCTCTTCGCGTCGTCCGATGTCGGACGACAGCAGTTCCTCCTTACTGTATCCACAGAAGTACGTGTCTGCGACTGCGTTCAGGACCGCCGAGACAAACCCATTCTCCCACAGCCTGTGCCATGCATCATCGCCGACTGTCCTTAGCCCAATGAGCAGTTCCCTTCGCTTGAGGTAGTCAGAGTGTTCCCAGTCTGCATGCAGGGACGCGAGCAGCTGGGCCCACCTGGGCGGGCGGATCAATTATGGACTCATTGTGGTGCAGGGAGGGTTCCTTTGAAAGAGGTCCCGGGTAGTGCATGGTCGCGAAGAGTTTGCTGAAGTTTTCGGCAGTCATGGTTAGCTGCTGCGATGAGTCGCTGTTGGTATCGACGAGCAGTCAGAATATAAGTCAGTGATAAACTTACCGAAGAGGATGGCAACGGGAGTCGCAATACACGGGGAGTCTAGACAGCGTGCGCGTCTCACCACGTACTGCGGGACATCTTGACTAAGTAGTGACACGCCGCCAACATGCCGCCCTGGCGACCCAAATAGCTCAAAAATCTCGCACCAGAGTTTTGAAGATGTGGATAGCGCACCTTGCATTTGTGTTCCAAGACAGGTCAGGATGAGCGAATTGGGCGAATTGGACATGTCTCACCGCCATCAAAGTTTGAAATTGATCCGCTCTGTGACGTAACCCACAGCAAAGAGGACACAACGAACAAGTCATGCTATTCGTGAGCACGATGCTAAGACCTAGACGTAGCAAAGGCCGATAATATACACCATAAAAAGCGTGCTGAATTTTCCATCGACCCAGCTGTTAACTCTACGGAAGGAACGGCATACAGTACACTAACTCGATACTAATGCGCTTCTGAAGATGGGATGCTCAAGCCCACCGGCCGAGTAAAGCCATGATGCCGCAACCAGACAGCATGCAGACGAGGGCGTATGCTAGCTTCCGGTTTGACGCGGCCATCATGTCTTTGTTGAAGAGGAACTCATGGGCGAGAAGCTGTCGTCGGTCATTTTATTTAGCCCGTGAGACTTTTATAAGACGGAAGCAGCTAACCTCGACAAGACCGGTGTAGATCAAGATGCCAGCGCTGAAAGCGTCGAGAATTCCGCTGACGATACTCGCGGTTGTACTGTCCGGGTTGTACGTCGTGCGGACTCCCAGACCGATCGCAATGCCTAAATGCACAGGATCAGTATACGAGTTTTGTAAGTGAGATGTTAAGACATACCCAGAGGAGTGGTGATACCGTAGAGAAACGCGCCGATGAGGGGAACGAACATGTACTTCTGGGGCAATTCCATGTATGCAAGCCGGGAGCCAACTCCAAGTCCCTCAAATGTTTCTGCGATTGGCGATCAGCCACTACCCAGAAGGCATATGTTCCATACCACTCACGATGGAAGATAATGACGACGAACAGGGTGATGAACTCGTCCGTGACGGCAAGCGTCAGCCCGATGAGCACACTGCGAGCACATGTTTAAAGCTGGAACAGAAATGAGCGAGACCATTCGTACCTGTGCAGTAAGACACCGAACTCGAGGATGGCAACACCTATGATTTGCGTCAGTGGAGAGTCAACGACGCTGCTCGGCTGGCTGGTGAGCACAGCCAGCTCGGCATCATGCTCGCGGGGACTCTTCTCAGAGAGGCCATCTTTCTCAGAAGGGACATTCAAGGCATCAATTTCGTCGCCGGGAACATTGCGGTCGCGGCGTTGCGTCTCAGGCTCTGGACCATGGGCAGCATGCGAACCAAGATCATGGCCGTGCGGATCGTGCGAGATACCAATGGAAGCGAGCTTGGCGGTACCCCAGCGGAAGGCGACCAGCTCGACAATGAATATCATGAAGATACTGAGCATTGCGATGGCCAGTGCATAGGGCTGTAGTAATATTGTAATCAGAGCTAGGCATAGCCCAGGACGGGAAGGACGTACGTAGACGCCCCATGCAGGGTTGAGACACGGCGAACCAAGCTCATCGAGAGCAGGGTCGAGGAGGTGGATGAATGCCGTAGCGATCTAGAATATTTTTAACGATAGCTCGCGACAAAGACCTGATCACTCACGATAACACCGCTACCGAAGTATTTGGCAAACTCGAAAACGCCCTTGGGCACACGAGGAGCCAGCCACCTTGAGCGACGGGAAAGAACCGGGAAGAAAGCACCAAACATCGAACCGATCATGACGATGAAGACGGACGCGATGCGGAGGCCGGTGCTACCAGTGTCTCCGCCGCCAGAACCGCAATTAACGCTATCGTCGCGGGCGAGCAGCGCCGCCATATATTCTCGGCGAGTGAGAACCATGATGTTTCGTTGGCGATGAGATGATGCTATGGTTTTGGTAGGTCGTAAGGCGCCCTATGGTCGAGCGAGCAGGGAAAGGGACGTGGGCAGTCCGAGAGGTTGCGACCGCCGTTTAGCGCACGGGCGCGGATAGGTTATATACATCTCATCAGAGGTAGGATCACCGTACCTGACCAAGAATCCGATTTCGGCCAGAAGTTCGGCCGTGGTAGGTTGACGGAACGGCAGCTCGTCCATGACTGCGACGGTACACTGTCTTGCGTGGACCACATGGACCTTGAAAATTAGGACCGTGTGGATAGAAGGTATGTTTCAATCTGCAATCGCAACACACTGCGCCGCTTGCCGTGCCGTACTTGACAGATCGTGTGGCTCCTAGGGTCGACTGAAGATACCGCAGCTATCTTTCAACCAGCGTTCAGTCCCAGAGATCTTCAAGTGGTCTCAGAAGACACACCTCCTAGACACAGCCCGCCATGATCCTCGCACGGCGGAGCACATCATAAAAATATCTGTCGTACAAGGGCATGGTGCCTGGTGTCGTGTTACCTGCCGTATCTTGCCGCCATTAATCGACGAGGACCTCAGCAGTCATGAGCGCGTCATCTAACGCCCGTCTCCGAGAAATTCTCTTCTTGCACCTCGTGTTGAGCCCGCAGCCTTCGCCGGGGCGGAGAGCACGCTCCGCCCGAGATCATGCTGTGGAATAGGTGGCGGCGGGGACGGCGGCGCCGGACACCACTATGGCAGCACTTCTTCAGAAGTCCCCGCGGTGCACAGGGCTGCAAATGGGACAGTTAGCACTTGGAGGTTACAGGATGTACCTCGATCTTACCCGCGTATAAGGATAGCACTGACGCTGCCATGGCTGTCGAACTTCTCGGTAGTGTTCAGCCAGCGGTACCTGCATTAATTCGAACAGCTTACGGTCTGGAAAGAGAAATTTGTATACGAACACTTCCTTCGGGCCGAAATTGGTGAACAAGATTGTTGTTTCTTACATTGCAAGATTGAGAGCTAAGAGACGTAAATGGTGGAAATGGTGACATAACTCAAGCGGTCGCAAGTTGAAGACGCGAAATGCCATCCGGCAACTACGCGGATCAGATGCGCCCGATGGCGCTAAGGAAAGTAATTACTGCCGAGCCCGCGCCTCTTCTCTGTCTCCGTGAAGATAGACCGCACACCCGAAGTGGAGGCCTCAGAGTCCCGCGCTACTGTGCTCTGCTGTTACCGGTCTCCTGTTTATTGACATTTCTTCTCTTCACGGCTGAATTTCACGCTAGTGCAGTTGCTCGATGGCCGTCATCGAGCTTGGAGTACCTGAAAGGTCGCGCATTTTTAGCCCTGACACAGCAAAAACCTCCATGTTTCAATCAGACTCTATCTAGAGCTCCTCTAAGCTCAAGCGGAGATGGACTCTTCTCTCCTGCCGACTGGCCGAGCCAACGGCAC